TCATCTCCTAACCCTCCCATCTACAGTTCTCCCCACTTTTTTCACACAGCAAACAAAATAATCTTTTTTAAAAAAAAACTTAATAAACAACAGAAATTTATTTGCTTATAGTTCTGAAAAGGTCAGGATCAAGGTGTCTGCAGGTTTGGTGTCTGGCGAGGGCCCCTTTCTCTACTTCCAAGATGGGCCTTGAATTCAATGTTCTCACATGGTAGAAAAAAAGTCCAAATTAGTCTTTTTTTTTTTTTTTTTTGAGTTGGAGTCTCACTCTGTCGCCCAGACTGGAGTGCAGTCTCGCCTGCTGGGCTCTGGCGATCCTTCCGCCTCAGCCTTCTGAGTAGACGGAATTACAGGTGCGCTACCACGCCCAGCTGATTTTTTGATTTATTGTAGAGATGAGGTCTCGCTGCCCAGGTGGGTCTTGAACTCGCGGGCTCAGGCAATCCACTCACCTCAGCCTCCCAAAAGCACGGGATTACAGGCTGAGCCACCGAGCCCGGCTCCAAAGTAATCTTTTAAAAACATATATGAGAGATAAAATTTCACTACTTTCATTCCTTGCAGGATGAAATACAAACCCTTAACAAGGGCCAGCATGGTTGGTTCCAACTACTGCTCAACTCTAGTCTCTTTGGTGCACTCTGTCTCTCTCACTTGCTTCAGCCACACTGATAGCCTTTCTTTCCTTGAATGTCCCAAGCTGTGTCCCGCATTAGGGGCTTTGTACATGCTGTTTCCCTCTACTTGGAAGATTCATCCTCCATTTTTCATCTAATAAACTCCTATTTGCCTTTCAAGACTCTATGGCCCGGCGTGGTGGCTCAAGCCTATAATCCCAGCACTTAGGGAGGCTGAGGTGAGAGAAATGTCTGAGCCTGCAGGTTTGAGACCAGCCTGGGCAACATGGTGAGACCTCCTCTCTACAATAGATCAAAAAATTAGCCAGGTGTGGTAGCATGCACCTGTGGTTTCGGCTACTTGGAAGGCTGAGGCAGAAGGATCACCTGAGCCAAGCAGGTTGAGGCTGTGGTGCCCGGGAGCGTGCCCCTGCACTCCAGCATGGGCGATAGAGTAAGACTCCAACTCAAAAAAAAAAAAAAGACTATTTATTTTATTTTATTTTATTTTTTGAATAGATAATATGTGTACATGGAACCAATTTGAAAAGATACAAGAGTTGGGCACAGTGGCTCATGTCTGTAGTGCCAACTACTCCAGAGGCTGAGGCAGGAGGATTGCTTGAGCCTAGGGTTAGAGGCTACAGTGAGCTATGACCATGCCACTGCACTCCAACCTGAGTGAGACCCATGTTTCTTAAAAAAAATTAAATAATACAAATACAGTAAATAAAAGGCACAAAAGAATATAAGTAATTCTCCTTCCTTCTACCCTCTTGCCTCCCTTCCTAGGAATAACCACTATGGCCATTTTCTTCTAAATTCTGGTCTGAGTTCAAATCTAATTTTTTAGATAGGCCTTCCCCGATACCCAATTCTAAAATGGATCTATCTGTTGTATCACCATAGTCCTTTGTGCTTTTTCTTTTTATAATTTTTCACATTTTGTAATTTTGTGACAATTCCTCTAATTCTTCTCTCCTCCCTCTAGACTGTAAACTCTATAAGCAGAGTTTTGTTGGCCTTATCTACTGTTAGATCCTCAGCTCTTTGCACAGTGCCTGCATATAGGTACTCAATAGGTAAGCCCTTCCAAAGCCTTGCCTATTTCTCTAAGCTCATCTCTTGCCACCCTGATCCTCACACTCTGCTTTGAAATTCTCTCCAGCTCCTTCCTTCCCAAAACTGTTTTCTCCCCACTTACTCCTACATATCCTTCAAGTTTCACCCATGCTGAGAATCCTTTCCTGACATTCAGTCCAGCCTAGGTGCCCCTCTCATGTATAGCCCTTATCATAGACAGCTCTTATCTTCCCGCATTGGTATTATTGTCTGTCTCCTTATGTGGTAGGTTCTGTGCTGCAGGGAGTTTGTCTTTGTTTATTGTTATAGCTCCAGTTTTTAGGGCAGTGCTTGGTACCAGTCAGGTCTTGCCATGGATATGGGGTTAGTTGTACACTGCACAGCTCTAGTCATTAACATAGTTGTAAGGGTACAATTGTCTCTGCCTACCCGGGTGAGTAATAATAAATATTTGATGAATGAATATACTTTGGAGAGTTCAGTGCTTTTTAGGAGGTCATTTTTTTTTTGAGTCGGAGTCTTACTCTGTCACCCAGGCTGAAACACAGGTACGCGCCACCATGCCCGGCTAATGTTTTTTTTTTGATTTATTGTAAAGACAAGTTCTTGCCAAATTGTCCAGGCTGGTCTCAAACCCCTGGACTCAGGCAATTCTCTTGCCTCAGCCTCTCAAAGTGCTGGGATTACAGGCGTGAGCCATGCCCAGCTAGGAGGTCATATTTTGAGGTGATAATATAATTTTGTTGGATGAGATTAATTTGCAAGGTCTGAGGATCATTGTGTACCCATCAAGGAGGTTTGGATATCAGCTTCCTGGGTGGGTACCTAGGTTGGAGAGTCTGGAGCCCCCAGCCTCAAAAGGTCAAAGGTCTTAGATACAAAGCGATGGAACTGAGGCAGAAGTCAGGAAGATACCTCGGTTATGTTCAGTGCTCTTTATAAACCTCTGGCCAGAAATACTTCCCTATTCCTTACATGGTAAACTCTTATTCTGCTTTCAAAACACAGTTTTTCCCTCTTTTATTCTATTTTATTTTATTTATTTATTTTTGAGTTGGAGTCTCACTCTGTCACCCAGACTGGAGTGCAGTGGCTGCTCCCGGCAACCGCAGTCTCGACCCGCTGGGCTCCGGCGATCCTTCTGCCTCTGCCTTCCGAGTAGCCGAAATTACAGGCGTGCGCTACCATGCCCAGCTGATTCTTGATTTATTGTAGAGATGCGGTCTCGCCAAGTTGCCCAGGCGGGTCTCGAACCCGCGGGCTCAGGCAGTCCACTAACCTCAGCCTCCCAAAGACGTGGGATTATAGGCTGAGCCACTGAGCCCGGCTAGTTTTTACCTCTTTTAAACCGATTCCCCTGTACCCTTGAACCCCTACTCCGATAGCAGAGTTAGTTTTCCTTCTCTCTGGGCATCTATAACATTGCTCATATCTCCATTAAAGTACACAGTACACCACAAGGTAATTATCTGTTTTGCCATCATCCTTCCCTAGAATAATCTGGGTGTCTCAAGGGAAAGTAGCATAGTTTATTCATCTTTGCAACCATCCTAGTAGCTATACAGTTATTGGCATGTGATCACAAACGTGGACTAATGCATATCATGGAAGGGATTCACGATATCCCTGGGTTGTCTTGATTTAATAGTGTGGATTGTAAATGCAGGGAAGTTCTCTGAAACCAGGACTATATCAGATTGGCCTCACACACAGCAAACCTGCTTGGAAGCCCATTTTAGAAAAGAAACCTAAGAAATCTTTCACTTAATGTCACTTAGACATCTCTACACACCATTTAGTCCCTCACAAGGGGTTTATGTTTATGTTTTGTGACTATGAGGACATGAGGGCAGGATCACAGGAACATGAGGATAGGAAACAGAATCTAGGACTAGTACTTTCTAGAAAGTGGCGACTGAGCAAGATAGACACAGAAGACCAGTGAAATGGTCAAGGTAGCCAGGTGCAGTTGCAAATGCCTGTAGTCCCAGCTGCCCGGGAGGCTGAGGCAGGAGGATCGCTTGAGACCAGGAGTTCAAGGCAATAGTGTACTGGGATCATGCCTGTGAATAGCCACTGCACTCCTGTCTGTAAATTAAAAAATAAAGAAAGTGTAAAGAACTGAGATCAGAGCTAGGAAAGATCGGGTCTAGCTTGATTTCATATTACAAAATTCAGGTGTTATTACCTGGTGGTTATGGACACAGTCTGCTCAGTCAGAAAGACCTGAGTTTAAACAGAAGTTCTACCTCTTACTTGTTGGATGACCTTGGTCATGTTACCAGATTTTTAAAAGCAATTATTTCTTCTTTATCTGTAAATGAGGATTAAGGGAGAATGTGAGGCTGGCACGGTGACTCATGCCTGTAATTTCAGCACTTTAGGAGGTGAAAGTGGGAGGATTGCTTAAGCCCAGAAGTTTGAGACCAGGCTAGGCAACATAGCAAGTCCTTCCTTGAATGGGGATCTGGATCTACCACAGAGTTTATATACAGAGACCCTATTTTTTTAACCTAGTAGTAGCATACATATACACTCTTCTGTACCTTGGGTTTTAGTTGTTGTTCACTTAACAATATTTTGTATGAGCACAAATAAATCAAATTAGATAGGTTTAAAAACTTTATGGAGCTGGACTCTGTGGCTCAGCCTGTAATCCCGTGCCTTTGGGAGGCTGAGGTGAGTGGATTGCCTGAGCCCGCGGGTTCGAGACCCACCTTGGCAGTGATACCTCATCTTTACAATAAATTAAAAAAACAGCCAGGTGTGGTAGCGCATGCCTGTAATTCCGGCTACTCAGAAGGCTGAGGCGGAAGGATCGCCGGAGCCCAGCAGGTCGAGGCTGTGGTAGCCGGAAGCGGCCACTGCACTCCAGTCTGGGCGACAGAGTGAGACTCCTACTCAAAAAAAAAACAAAGCTTTATGGAACTTTATGATTTTCCTCTTTGCTGTTTTTTTAAATTGCCTGTATCTCTATACAGCCACCAATCTTCAAAAGAACTATTGCCCATTGAAGGACAATATGAGAATGTATTTTGTCCTTCTACTGCCAGCACCTTTATCAGGAGAGAATTTATCAAAGAAAGATGGGCAGTGGGGATTAGATATATTCCAGGAGGCAAAAGGAGGCAAACTGAGAACCAGTCCAGGATCAAGAAATGCCTATGGTTCTTTAAGCCAACAAGAAGCCCTCTACCTCTAAGTATTCCCAGTCCTGTAGTGGAAAATGTATCTCCTCACATGATCTGCCTGTCCCTCGAGGAGCTTAGAAACAGATTTGTCTTATTTTCTATCTTTTAGGTAGCATTCTACTGAGTTCCTGTCGGCACTACAAGACAAAGCCTACCCACGGCATTGGGAGATACAAGCATCTGATTAAAGCACAAGAGGTAAGGGGCAAGGAAGAGTCCTTGAAGGAAGATAGTGTACAGCTTTTGCAAAAACCTGAAAATCAGATATGCATAGGTTGTGATATTGGAGCTAGAAAGGATAGAGAATTGCCCCTCAGTCCTCGCCAGTTATTTAGTTTAGAATTATCCAAACTGGATATATTTTTTTCTTTTTTTTTTTTTGGAGTTAAAGTCTCACTCTGTCACTCAGACTGGAGTACAATGGCACGCTCACGGCCACCACAGCCTCGACCTATTGGGCTTAGGTGATCCTTCTGTCTCAGCCTTCCAAGGAGCTGGAACTACAGGCATGCACCACCATGCCCAGCTAATTTTTCTTGATTTATTGTAGAGATGAGGTCTTACCAAGTTGCCCAGGTTGATCTCGAACTCCTAGGCTTAGGCAATCCTCTTGCCTCGGTCTCCCAAAGTGCTGAGACTACAGGCTTGAGCCACTGCACCCGGCCAAACTGGATATGTTTCTACCAGCTTCCAATCTTGTCCCTAGGCCAAGTTTGCGGAAAGTAGAGGTAGATTGACATGTTTAGCCAAATAACTGATTTTTATTGTATTTGCAGATCTAAAATATGTGTACTCCTTAAACCCATTATCACAGCTACCTGGGTATTAGTTTTAAGCATTATACAACTATTTAGCCCATTTCTTTGGCCCCAGGTACACTGTATGTGTGCAGAGGATTTTGTGATGGTGTAGATATAACACTGGCCCAAAAGTTAGAAGATCTGGCTTTCAGTCTAGATTCTATCACTTCCTGTAAAGAATACAGCTGGGGAGATTTTGCTCTTCTACTTGAGGAGACTTCAACATCTTTTGGTTCTTTAGCTTATTTCAGTGCTCCCACGCAACTGCGAACATCTCCTGTTTGCCCCTCTCTTCTTGGCAGAATTCCATACCACTGTCTTTGGGTAGGAGCCACCAAACTTGCCATGCTTTCCTGACCGTCATCCTTATGTTAAGGAATTTCATGAGAAGAACATTGCCACCTCTCAGGCCTATATCAGGCAGTCTCCCAGCAGGAAACAAATGGCCTACTTAAATTGTTCCTTTGTAGTGGGAAGAATACTAAATTAGGAACCAGGAAACTTGTATTCTAAGCTGGGTTCTGCCACTTTTCAGCTTTGTGATTTGGGGTAAGTTAATCTTACCTCTCTAGGCATGATGGGCACTGAAATTATATGTACAATGTTTTCTATACATGAATTTTCCAGGAAAGAAAAATTTTTCTGAGTCTGTAGCTTTTACCAGACTCTTCACAAAGGTTAAGAAACTCTGGATTAGACTATCTTTGAGTCTTTCAACTTATATATCATGTAACTTCATGATGCTGTGAAATAATTGTTGAACACCTATTATGTGCTAGGCACTCTTGGTGTCTCACCCATTCAGAGTAGGTTGCAAAATAATTTTATGGAATGAATAAACAAGACCTGGTTCATTCTCAGAGGGAGCTGGTAAACCAGCAGAGCTAAGGCACAGGCCATTATATGCCTAGAGAGAAAGCAACACGCGCTGAAAGGAAGATACAAAGTGCTATTAAAATTTAGAAGAAGATGGGCACAGTGGCTCATGCCTAAAATCCCAGCACTAAGGGAGGCAAAGGCAAGAGGATTGCCCGAGCCCACAGGTTTGAGATCAGCCTGGGTAACATGGTGAGACCTCATTTCTACAATAAATAATTAGCCAGGTGTAGTAGCACATGCCTGTAGTTCCAGCTACTTGGAAGGCTGAGGCAGAAGAATCACCTGAGCCCAGCAGGTCAAGGCTGCGGTGGCCATGAGCGTGTCACTGCACTCCAGCCTGGGCGACAGAGTAAGACTGACTCAAAAAAAAAAAATTCAGAAGGAGTGATTTACACCCTTCAGACTTTTGACACCTTAGAGTAAGTTGTTGGAGTTGTTTTATTTTGAGACATCTCCTTTCTAAAAGTCTCACATAAATTAGTGGGAAATAAAATTAGTTTTATTTGGGTGGGATTCTTTTTTTTTTCCTTCTGTTTTTAAAAAATTTCTTGGGATGTGGCGCATGCCTGTAATCCTAGCACTTTGGGAGGCCTAGGCAAGAGAATTGCTTGAGCCCAGGAGTTCAAGTCGAACCTGGGCAGCATAGCGAGATTTTGTAGAGACAAAAAATGAAAAAATTAGCTGGGCATAGTGGCATTTGTCTATAGTAGCAGCTACTCAGGAGGTTGAGGCAGCTGGATCCTGAGCCCAGGAGTTTGAGGCTGCAGTTAGCTGTGATTGTGCCACTGCATTCCAGCCTGGGCAGCAGAGTGAGACCCCGACTCAAAAAGAAAAAAATTTCTTGGAATTCTCCCTTTAAAATAATTTTCTGCATATGTCATATTTCGACCCCCTCCTTAGCTTGGTATAAAAGGAAGCTTAATGTCACCTCTTCCCATCTTCCTCTCCAGCCTCTTTCCCATCTCATGGACACCATGCTTTAACTGTTTTGGGTCTCTTGCTTTTCATCCAAATCATTATACTTTTTCATGGCCTCTCACATGCTGTTCTGTCTACTTGGAAGACCTTCTCCCCTTCTTCACCTGGCAAACTCCTCTTCAACTTTTAAATCTCAGTGAGAAACCAGGGTGAGGAGGGACTCAAAGCTTTCCTTCTGAGAAACCTTCCTGGATTCTCTGTACTGAGTTACTTGTCCCACCAGTGTTCCTTGTACTTCCTCTGTCTGAGGACTTATCACTCTATGTTTTAGCTATCTGTTTTGTTTTTTTTTTGAGTTGGAGTCTCACTCTGTCGCCCAGACTGGAGTGCGGTGGCCGCTGCTGGCCACCACAGCCTCGACCTGCTGGGCTCCGGCGATCCTTCCGCCTCAGCCTTCCAAGTAGCCGGAATTACAGGCGTGCGCTACCACGCCCAGCTGATTTTTTGATTTATTGTAGAGATGAGGTCTCGCTGCCCAGGCGGGTCTCGAACCCGCGGGCTCAGGCAATCCACTGACCTCAGCCTCCTAAAGGTGCGGGATTACAGGCTGAGCCACCGAGCCCGGCTTAGCTATCTGTTTTGATGACTGTGTCCCCTTCTAGACTGTGAGGTCCCTCAGGGTAGAGGCCATGTCTTATTTTGCTCTGTATTCCCAGTGTCCAGCACAGGGCCTGGCATCAAACATGGGACAGTCAATATTGACTGAGCTGAACTGAAATGTGGTTATTGGAGCTGCCCTGAAGTTTTGTAAATCAGACAAACACAACCTATCTGTAAACACCTGGCACCTTGATCTTGGTTGCTTAAAGGGAGTGATGCTACCTTTGGTTAGGGCTTTTCTCTGATGTCATTCAGTGTCCTGGCATAGTTAGTACAGTAGTGCTGGATACTGATAGAAGTTGCTCCGGCCTCTTGACTTCCTGCACAGGATAGCACAGTGAAGACTCACATCTGCCAGATTACAGAGGCTTTGTCCTGGGTCTCTATTTCTTTTATCTCTCTGGGGAACTGGACTAGGTCAACCAGAAGGAATCTTGTGTGAACTCCTTTCTTTCTCTCCCTAAGCCTAGACAAAACAGTAAGCAGCCAGATTCCCATTTTTTTCCTCTGTGGGTCTCAGTCTGGCCCCTCTACTTTCTTGGGCCCAATATCCCTGAGATAGGAGTTAATTCTCTTATCCCACTTCTGCTTGTGCAGTTCCTTCTTCCTCCTTCCAAAGGTCCCATACTCAATCTATGACTACTAAATCTTGGAAGGGAAATAGGGCCTCTACCTCATCTTAGCTTTCCTTGTCAGTACTGGTTTTTTCTCTTTCTTACATGACCTGGCTTCTCACTCTAAATTGGTTCTCATTCCTTCATCCTGTGTCCTTGTCTGTGATGCTTCTCTGAGGAGGTGGTAAGAGAAGATATAAAAATGAGACTTCCTTTTGGGTGGTAGCATGGGGGATGGCAACAAATGTGATATTCCAAGTCTCTTACAGTACGAACCTGACCTCTTTCTTAGGGATTTCACTTTCTGCATTCTGTGTTTCAGGCACATTTTCTTAAACACTCATGCTCTTTCCTGCCTCTGTACCTTCACACGTTTTCTCCTTGTTTGGTTTATTAATTACCCTTCCTTTTTTCTCTATGGTGCTCATCCTGCAGGAGCCAGCTTGACTTGTGGATGTGAACAATCACATTTCAGAGCACATCTCCAAACTGAGCACCATCTCAGTGTATGGAGCTCATTATTCCCTCAAAGGTCCTGTATCATTCTGTTGAATTTAAAAGGCTTCTGATATTTTGGAGTGATTTATATTTGATAGAAATAAAAGTAATAATACTCATTCACATTTATATAGCACCAGTCTTTTCTCCCAGGACCACTTACTTCCTTACCCTCACCTGCTATCCACTTTCCAATCTTGCGGTAATAGTGATTCAGTAATCAGATAATTGTCAAGAGGAAGATGTGGAGGGATGAAATGGAGGCACCGTAAATTGCTGTAAATTTGTTATATATTCTCATTTCCAGGCCCTGGAGCTAGAGAGTTAGGAATATCTTTTGTGACTCAGGCAATCTTCTTCCTCTTTACAGAATGGTCCCTAGGAATCAACATCACTTTTCTCTTGGAAACTTCCTGCTGTTTTTACTGTTGACATAGAGGAGGTGTCTGCCATTTCTGACACCTATTTATTTTGTGGTAGCACCCATGCATAGATCAGCTCTCATAGCCACAAGTCTGTGAGGAGAGTGGAATCACTCCTAGAAAAACCAGTAGGTCAGAATCACTTTATGGTAATAGTCATAGCTTCCTGAAAACAAAAAGATTGGCTTTGCTGGTCTAGCAACTGTAATTGCTGGTCTAGACATGTATTATAGGACTGGCTTAGGGATAGTTGTTTTATACTAGCACCCATGTTTTCCCTCAGGTCTATTTCTTGTAGCTAATTGAAAAGAAAAGCCATCATTCAGCATCTACTGTGTACCATGTGCTGAGTACCAATGATGCTTAAGTGAATGGGACATAGTCACTTCCTACAGAAAGCCTACAGT